GGAGGGACACCCCAATAATAAATATTATAATGACGGCCTTGCTTTCCCGATAGAATCAAAGAGTCATCATCATTCCTGCGCTCACTAATGCCTCTAATCCAGTCACTCGTGATGAGACGCCGCTATTGCCTAGAGCACTTGACGCGAGACTACACGGTGGACCTTTGCCTTTGCCTTTGCCTTGGCAGCCATCGGCAGAGGAGGTTCGCCAGGTGGAACAGCTAACGAAGGAGACTCACGATAGGGTGGAGGAGCTCAAGAAGAGGAACCTCTGGGTGGACGTGAGTGAGGGAGTGGGTGGGTGGGTGAGTGAGTGGGTGGGTGAGTGGGTGGGTGGGTGAGTGGGTGGGTGGGTGAGTGGGTGGGTGGGTGAGTGAGTGAGTGAGTGGGTGGGTGAGTGAGTGAGTGGGTGGGTGGGTGAGTGAGTGGGTGGGTGAGTGAGTGGGTGGGTGAGTGGGTGAGTGAGTGGGTGAGTGAGTGAGTGGGTGAGTGAGTGGGTGAGTGAGTGAGTGGGTGAGTGAGTGAGTGAGTGGGTGAGTGAGTGGGTGAGTGGATGGGTGAGGGAGTAGGTGGGTGGGTGGTTGAGTGAGTGGGTGGGTGGGTGGGTGAGTGAGTAGGTGAGTGAGTGGGTGGGTGAGTGAGTGAGTGGGTGGATGGGTGGGTGAGTGAGTGAGTGAGTGGCTGGGTGAGTGAGTGAGTGAGGGAGTGAGTGAGTGGGTGAGTGGGTGGGTGAGTGTGGGAGTGAGTGGGTGAGTGGGTGGGTGAGTGTGGGAGTGAGTGGGTGAGTGAGTGGGTGGGTGGGTGGGTGAGTGAGTGGGTGGGTGAGTGAGGGAGTGAGGGAGTGGGTGAGTGAGTGAGTGGGTGAGTGAGTGAGTGAGTGGGTGAGTGAGTGGGTGAGTGAGTGGGTGAGTGGGTGGGTGATGGAGTAGGTGGGTGGGTGGTTGAGTGAGTGGGTGAGTGGGTGGGTGAGTGAGGGAGTGGGTGGGTGAGTGGGTGGGTGAGTGAGTAGGTGAGTGAGTGAGTGGGTGGGTGAGTGAGTGAGTGGGTGGGTGGGTGAGTGGGTGAGTGAGTGGCTGGGTGAGTGGCTGGGTGAGTGAGTGAGTGAGCGAGTGGGTGAGTGGGTAGGTGAGTGGGTGAGTGATTGAGTGGCTGAGTGAGTGGGGGAGTGAGTGCGTGAGTGAGTGGGTGAGTGAGTGAGTGGGTGAGTGAGTGAGTGGGTGAGTGGGTGCGTGAGTGAGTGAGTGGGTGAGTAAGTGAGTGGGTGAGTGAATGAGTGAGTGGTTGAGTGGTTGGGTGAGTCAGCGAGTGAGTGAGTGAGTGGGTGGGTGAGTGAGTGGGTGAGTGAGTGGGTGAGTGAGTGGGTGGGCGAGTGAGTGGGTGAGTGAGTGGGTGGGTGAGTGGGTGAGTGGGTGGGTGGGTGGGTGAGTGAGTGGCTGGGTAAGTGAGTGAGTGAGGGAGTGAGTGAGTGGGTGAGTGAGTGGGTGAGTGGGTGGGTGAGGGAGTAGGTGGGTGGGTGGTTGAGTGAGTGGGTGATTGGGTGGGTGGGTGAGTGAGTGAGGGAGTGGGTGGGTGAGTGGGTGGGTGGGTGAGTGAGTAGGTGAGTGAGTGAGTGGGTGGTTGAGTTTGTGAGTGAGTGAGTGGGTGAGTGAGTGGGTGAGTGAGTGAGTGAGTGGGTGAGTGAGTGGGTGAGTGGGTGAGTGAGTGATTGGCTGAGTGAGTGGGGGAGTGAGTGGGTGAGTGGGTGAGTGAGTGGGTGAGCGAGTGAGTGAGTGGGTGAGTGGGTGAGTGAGTGGGTGAGTGAGTGAGTGGGTGAGTGAATGAGTGAGTGTTTGAGTGGTTGGGTGAGTCAGCGAGTGAGTGAGTGAGTGGGGGAGGGAGTGGGTGAGTGAGTGAGTGGGTGAGTGAGTGAGTGAGTGGGGGAGTGAGTGAGTGAGTAGGTGAGTGAGTGAATGAGTGAGTGGTTGAGTGGTTGGGTGAGTCAGCGAGTGAGTGAGTGAGTGAGTGGGGGAGTGAGTGGGTGAGTGAGTGGGTGAGTGGGTGAGTGGGTGAGTGAGTGAGTGAGGGAGTGGGTGGGTGAGTGGTTGGGTGAGTCAGCGAGTGAGTGAGTGAGTGAGTGGGGGAGAGTGGGTGGGTGAGTGGTTCGGTGAGTCAGCGAGTGAATGAGTGAGTGGTTGAGTGGTTCGGTGAGTCAGCGAGTGAGTGAGTGGCTGAGTGAGTGGTTGAGTGGGTGGGTGAGTGGGTGAGTGAGTGAGTGAGTGGGTGAGTGGGTGGGTGGGTGGGTGAGTGAGTGGGTGGGTGGGTGAGTGAGTGGGTGAGTGAGTGGGTGAGTCAGTGAGTGAGTGGATGAGTGGGTGGGTGAGGGAGTAGGTGGGTGGGTGGTTGAGTGAGTGGGTGGGTGGGTGGGTGAGTGAGTGAGTGGGTGGATGGGTGGGTGAGTGAGTGAGTGAGTGGCTGGGTGAGTGAGTGAGTGGGAGAGTGGGTGGGTGTGTGGTTCGGTGAGTCAGCGAGTGAGTGAGTGAGTGGGTGAGTGAGTGAGTGGGTGAGTGAGTGGGTGAGTGAGTGAGTGAGTGGGTGAGTGAGTGAGTGGGTGAGTGAGTGAGTGGGTGAGTGAGTGAGTAGGTGAGTGGTTGAGTGGTTCGGTGAGTCAGCGAGTGAGTGAGTGAGTGGGAGAGTGAGTAAGTGAGTGGGTGAGTGAGTGAGTGAGTGGGTGAGTGAGTGGGTGAGTGAGTGGGTGAGTGGGTGGGTGAGTCAGTGAGTGAGTGGGTGAGTGGGTGGGTGGGTGAGTGAGTGGGTGGGTGAGTGAGTGGGTGAGTGGGTGGGTGAGTGGGTGGGTGAGTGAGTGGGTGAGTGAGTGAGTGGGTGAGTGAGTGGGTGAGTGAGTGGGTGAGTGGGTGGGTGAGTCAGTGAGTGAGTGGGTGAGTGGGTGGGTGAGTGAGTGAGTGAGTGGGTGAGTGAGTGGGTGAGTGAGTGAGTGGGTGAGTGAGTGGGTGAGTGAGTGAGTGAGTGGTTGAGTGGTTGCGTGAGTAAGTGAGTGAGTGGGTGAGTGAGTGGGTGAGTGGGTGAGTGAGTGGGTGAGTGGGTGGGTGAGTGGGTGAGTGAGTGGGGGTGTGAGTGAGTGGGTGAGTGAGTGGGTGAGTGGGTGAGTGAGTGAGTGAGTGGTTGAGTGGTTGGGTGAGTCAGCGAGTGGGTGAGTGAGTGGGTGAGTGGGTGGGTGAGTGGTTGAGTGGTTGGGTGAGTCAGTGAGTGAGTGGGTGAGTAGGTGGGTGGGTGAGTGAGTGGGTGAGTGGGTGAGTGAGTGAGTGAGTGGTTGAGTGGTTGGGTGAGTCAGTGAGTGAGTGGGTGAGTCCAAGATCCCCCGTGCCCTCCCACCCCAGGTGCTGAAGCTGTGTCGGCAGTGCCTGTCCAAGCAGGAGGCGGTGTTTGGTGAGTGTCACGTGAGCTTGGTGAGGATGGTGAGGCTAATGGCGGACGTGCTGGCCTACCTGCAGTCCTTCAACGAGGCCGCCACCTTCGCACAGCGCACTGTCGACGCGATCGAGTGAGTCACCCGCTCGCTCGTCCGCTCGCTCACCCACTCGCTCACCCACTCACCCACTCACTCACTCTCTCACCCACTCACTCACCCACTCACTCACTCGCTCACCCACTCCCTGACCCACCCACCCACTCACCCACCCACCCACCCACACACTCGCTCACCCACTCACTCACCCACTCGCTCACCCACTCACTCACCCACTCACTCACTCACTCACCCACTCACCCACCCACCCACCCACTCACCCACTCACCTACCACCCACTCACTCCCTGACCCACACACCCACTCACCCACCCACTCACTCACCCACTCGCTCACCCACTCACTCACCCACTCGCTCACCCACTCACTCACCCACTCACTCACTCACCCACTCACTCACTCACTCACCCACTCACTCTCTCACCCACCCACCCACTCACACACCCACTCACTCACTCACCCACTCACTCACTCACCCACTCACTCACTCACTCACCCACTCACTCACCCACCCACCCACCCACACACCCACCCACCCACCCACTCTCTCACCCACCCACTCACTCACTCACTCACCCACTCACTCACTCACTCACCCACTCAATCACTCACTCACCCACCCACCCACACACCCACCCACCCACCCACACACCCACCCACCCATTCGCTCACCCACCCACCCACACACCCACTCACTCACTCACCCACTCACTCACTCACCCACTCACTCACCCACCCACCCACCCACACACCCACCCACCCACCCACCCACACACCCACCCATTCGCTCACCTACTCACTCACCTACTCAATCACCCATTCGCTCACCCACCCACACACCCACCCGCTCACTCACCCATTCGCTCACCTACTCACTCACCCACTCGCTCACCCACTCGCTCACCCACTCACTCACTCACTCACCTTCTCACTCACCTACTTGCTCACCCACTCGCTCACCTACTCTCTCACCCACTCACTCACTCACCCACCCACTCCCTGACCCACCCACCCACCCACACACTCACCCACCCACTCTCTCACCCACCCACCCACACACCCACTCACTCACTCACCCACTCACTCACTCACTCACCCACCCACCCACACACCCACCCACCCACCCACTCTCTCACCCACCCACACACCCACCCACCCACTCACTCACCCATTCGCTCACCTACTCACTCACCTACTCAATCACCCACTCGCTCACCCACCCACACACCCACCCGCTCACTCACCCATTCGCTCACCTACTCACTCACCCACTCGCTCACCCACTCACTCACCCACTCACTCACTCACCTACTCGCTCACCTACTTGCTCACCCACTCGCTCACCCACTCGCTCACCCACCCATCCACTAAATCACCTCCTCACCCACCCACTCATCTACCCACTCACTCACTCACCCACCCACTCATCTACCCACTCATCCACCCACCCACTCACTCACTCACTCACCCATCCACCCACTCACTCACCCACCCACTGACCCACCCACCCACTCATCCACCCACTCACTCACTCACCCATCCACCCACTCACTCACCCACACACACATTGACTCACTCACCCACCCACCCACTCACTCACCCACTCACTCACCCACCCACTCATCTACCCACTCACCCACCCACTCACTCACCCATCCACCCACCCATCCACCCACTCACTCACTCACCCACCCACTCACTCACCCACCCACTCACCCACCCACCCCCCCACCCACCCGCTCACTCACCCACGCACCCGCTCACCCACCCACCCACCCACCCGCTCACCCACCCACACACCCACTCACCCACCCACCCACCCACTCACCCACTCACCCACCCACCCACCCACCCACCCACTCACCCACTCACCCACCCACTCACCCACCCACCCACCCACCCACCTCCCCCCACGCTACAGGAAGATCTACCACCCCAACAACGCCCAGCTGGGGATGATGGTGATGCGTGCCGGGGTGACTCACTGGCACGCAGGCCTCATCGACAAGGCCCACGCACACGTGTGTCGCGCCCTGGGCATCCTCATGGTCACTCACGGACCCCTGCACCCTATCACCAGAGACCTGGAGGTGGGTGGGTGGGTGGGTGAGTGGGTGGGTGGGTGGGTGAGTGGGTGGGTGGGTAGGTGGGTGAGTGGGTGAGTGAGTGGGTGGGTGGGTGGGTGTGTGGGTGAGTGGGTGAGTGGGTGTGTGGGTGGGTAGGTGGGTGGGTGAGTGGGTGGGTAGGTGAGTGGGTGAGTGAGTGAGTGAGTGGGTGGGTGAGTGGGTGGGTGAGTTGGTGGGTAGGTGAGTGAGTGAGTGGGTGGGTAGGTGAGTTGGTGGGTGGGTGGGTGAGTGGGTGGGTGGGTGGGTGAGAGAGTGAGTGGGTGGGTGAGTGGGTGGGTGAGTGGGTGGGTGAGTGGGTGGGTGGGTGGGTGAGTGAGTGGGTGGGTGGGTGGGTGAGTGAGTGAGTGGGTGGGTAGGTGGGTAGGTGGGTGGGTGGGTGAGTGAGTGGGTGGGTAGGTGGGTAGGTGGGTGTGTGGGTGAGTGGGTGGATAGGTGGGTGGGTGAGTTGGTGGGTAGGTGGGTGGGTGAGTGGGTGGGTGAGTGGGTGATGGGTGGGTGGGTGAGTTGGTGGGTGGGTGAGAGAGTGAGTGTGTGGGTGGGTGGGTTGGTGGATGAGTGGGTGGGTCAGTGAGTGAGTGGGTGGGTGGGCTGGTGGGTGAGTGAGTGAGTGGGTGGGTGGGTGGGTGAGTTGGTGGATGGGTGAGAGAGTGGGTGGGTAGGTGGGTGGGTGAGTTGGTGGGTGGGTGAGAGAGTGAGTGTGTGGGTGGGTCGACTCAGCCTCAAATGAGTACCTGGTGCGGTGTGTAAACATTGCCACTAGGGAGACAAAGGCGGTCGGGCGTGGTGCTGGCCACCCACCCCCTCGTGTACCGTTCCGGCCTTCATTGGTGCTCGCTAACAGCACTTGCCCCTAAAGTCTGTTAAGGCTATATGGGGGATCTTTTTTATCTTTGTTGTGTGGGTGGGTGGGTTGGTGAGTTGGTGGGTGGGTGAGAGAGTGAGTGTGTGGGTGGGTGGGTTGGTGGATGAGTGGGTGGGTGGGCTGGTGGGTGAGTGAGTGGGTGGGTTGGTGTGTGAGTGGGTGGGTGGGTCAGTGAGTGGGTGAGTGGGTTGGTGTGTGAGTGGGTGGGTGGGTGAGTTGGTGGGTGGGTGAGTGAGTGGGTGGGTAGGTGGGTAGGTGGGTGTGTGGGTGAGTGGGTGGATAGGTGGGTGGGTGAGTTGGTGGGTAGGTGGGTGGGTGAGTGGGTGGGTTGGCTGGTAGGTGAGTGAGTGAGTGGGTGGGCCAGTGAGTGGGTGGGTGGGTGGGTCAGTGAATGGGTGAGTGGGTGAGTGGGTGGGTGTGTGAGTGGGTGGGTGGGTGGCTAGGTGGGTGTGTGGGTGAGTGGGTGGATAGGTGGGTGGGTGAGTTGGTGGGTAGGTGAGTGAGTGGGTGGGTGGGCCAGTGAGTGGGTGGGTGTGTGAGTGGGTGAGTGAGTGGGTGGGTGTGTGAGTGGGTGAGTGGGTGGGTGTGTGAGTGGGTGAGTGAGTGGGTGGGTGTGTGAGTGGGTGAGTGAGTGGGTGGGTGTGTGAGTGGGTGAGTGGGTGGGTGTGTGAGTGGGTGAGTGGGTGGGTGTGTGAGTGGGTGGGTGAATGGTGAGCGAGTTTAACACCACCTCCACCTCCTCCTCCTCCACCCCGCTCCACCGCTGGAACCCCCCAGGGCCTGCGCGTCCAGACCGAGATGGAGCTGCGTCTCTTCCGCGAGAACGAGTTCGCCTACGAGAGGCTCCGTGAGGCTGCCCTGCAGGGCTCCTCCATGCGCCTCATGGCCGAGCCTCAAACGGGAGACTTACGGCACAAGTGATGATGGCTGTGATGGCTGTGATGGCTCGCCCGCCCGCCCGCTCGTCCGCTCGCCCGCTCGCTCGCCCATCCACTCACCGACCCGCTCGCTCGCTTACCCACTCACCCACTCACCCACCCACCCGCGCACCCACTCACTCACCCACTTACTCACCCGCTCGCTCGCTTACCCACTCACTCAGCCACCCACTCACTCACCCACTCACCCACCCACTCACCCACTCACTCACCAACCCCTCACCCACCCACTCACTCACCCACCAACCCACCCACTCACCCACTCACTCACCCACTCACTCACCAACCCCTCACCCACCCACTCACCCACCCACCCACTCACCCACCAACCCACTCACTCACCAACCCCTCACCCACCCACTCACTCACCCACCCACCCACCCACTCACCCACTCACTCACTCACCCACTCACTCACCCACTCACCCACTCACCCACTCACTCACCCACCCACCCAACCTCCAACCCACTTACCCACCCCTCACTCACCCACCCACTCACCCACCAACCAACTCACCCACCAACCCCTCACCCACCCACTCACTCACCCACCAACCCACCCACTCACCCACTCACCCACCCACTCACTCACCCACCCACCCACTCACCCACTCACTCACCCACCCACTCACTCACCAACCCATCACCCACCCACCCACTCACTCACCCACCAACCCACCTACTCACCCACTCACTCACCCACTCACTCACTCACCCACCCACTCACCCACCCACCCAACCTCCAACCCACTTACCCACCTCTCACTCACCCACCCACCCACTCATCCACCAACCCCTCACCCACCCACTCACTCACCCACCAACCCACCCACTCACCCACCCACTCACTCACCCACCCACCCACTCACTCACTCACCCACCCACTCACTCACTCACCCACCCACTCACTCACCCACTCACTCACCCACTCACTCACCCACCCACCCACTCACTCACTCATCCACCTTACATAACAAAGGGAGCCACGGGAGTGAGATCTTAGCCTGGATTTGTCATTCAGTGTCTCATCAGCAGTGCGGGAAGTGGGAATTTGCTTTTATTAGTTGCAATTCTAGACTGGTTTTGTCATTCAGCGTCTGATCAGCAGTGCAGTGCGGCTTTGCTTGCAACCAGCACCAATATAGAGACCCACAGACTCATCACCACACAGAGACCCACAGACTCATCATCACACAGAGACCCATAGACTCATCATCACACAGAGACCCATAGACTCACCACCACACAGAGACCCACAGACTCACCACACAGAGACCCATAGACTCATCATCACACAGAGACCCATAGACTCATCACCACGCAGAGACCCATAGACTCACCACCACACAGAGACCCATAGACTCACCACCACACAGAGACCCATAGACTCACCACCACACAGAGACCCATAGACTCACCACCACACAGAGACCCATAGACTCACCACCACACAGAGACCCATAGACTCACCACCACACAGAGACCCATAGACTCACCACCACACAGAGACCCATAGACTCACCACCACACAGAGACCCATAGACTCACCACCACACAGAGACCCATAGACTCACCACCACACAGAGACCCATAGACTCACCACCACACAGAGACCCATAGACTCACCACCACACAGAGACCCATAGACTCACCACCACACAGAGACCCATAGACTCACCACCACACAGAGACCCATAGACTCACCACCACACAGAGACCCACAGACTCATCATCACACAGAGACCCATAGACTCATCATCACACTGAGACCCACAGACTCATCATCACCACACAGAGACCCATAGACTCATCATCACACAGAGACCCATAGACTCATCATCACCACACAGAGACCCATAGACTCATCATCACACAGGGACCCATAGACTCATCATCACACAGAGACCCATAGACTCACCACCACACAGAGACCCATAGACTCACCACCACCAGAGACCCATAGACTCATCACCACACAGAGACCCATAGACTCATCATCACCACACAGAGACCCATAGACTCATCATCACCACACAGAGACCCATAGACTCATCATCACACAGGGACCCATAGACTCACCACCACACAGAGACCCATAGACTCATCACCACACAGAGACCCATAGACTCATCACCACACAGAGACCCATAGACTCACCACCACACAGAGACCCATAGACTCACTACCACCACCACACAGAGACCCATAGACTCATCACACATACAGAGACTCATAGACTCATCACCACACAGAGACCCATAGACTCATCACCACCACACAGAGACCCATAGACTCACCACCACCACCACACAGAGACCCATAGACTCACCACCACACAGAGACCCATAGACTCACCACCACACAGAAACCCATAGACTCATCACCACCACACAGAGACCCATAGACTCACCACCACCACACAGAAACCCATAGACTCACCACCACACAGAGACCCATAGACTCACCACCACACAGAGACCCATAGACTCACCACCACCACACAGAGACCCATAGACTCACCACCACACAAAGACCCATAGCCTCACCACCACACAGAGACCCATAGACTCATCATCACATAGAGACCCATAGACTCACCACCACCACACAGAGACCCATAGACTCATCACCACACAGAGACCCATAGAATCACCACCACACAGAGACCCATAGACTCACCACCACACAGAGACCCATAGACTCACCACCACGCAGAGACCCATAGACTCACCACCACACAGAGACCCATAGACTCACCACCACCACACAGAGACCCTGCAGTGTTTGTGTGGTGTTGACGATGTGACCGTGTTATTTAGAATTAAGTTTTTGTGTGAATGTAATAAAGAATAAGCCATTTATCAGAGTGGACGTCATGACCCCCCTTCTCACTCACCCCCCCCCCCATGCGTCTCGTGACGTCATCATCGATTGGTATTGGCCAGTGTCCCGTGACGTCATCTACACCATTTGTCCCCCCCTCTCTGCATCGTGACGTCATCGCCCGATTGGCACAGCTGAAGTCTCGTGATGTCATCTGCCCGTTTTTGTTATCCCTTTACGTTTCGTGACGTAATCACACTCCACTCCGCCTTGCCACCCGGAAGGTATCGTGACGTCATCGCACCATTCGCTCCCTCCGTTCCTCGTGACGTCGTCCACCCTATTTTCACTCTGTCCCTTGACGTCATCATCCCTCTCCACCTTCCCAGCCAAGGTCTCGTGACGTCATCGCACCATTCACTCCCTCTGCGATTCGTGACGTCATCTTCCGTAATGTGTCGACAATTATACCTTGCGTGAGTTTAACGGAACGGACGACGTTTCGGCATTTGGGACCTACAACAAATCTCGTTGGCCTCTGCACCCCTCAGCCAATCAGAAGAAAGAATGAGCCACGGTGATGACGTAGAGAAGGTGGGGGTGATTCTATTTAAATAACCACGCCTCCTCATTTACATATGCACGCCGGGGGCGTTGCCTCATTTGAATAACCACGCCTTATACTTTACATATGCATGATGGTCACGTGGTGCGAACGCGCACACATTATTTTTTTGATGTTCGTAAAAATTATACAGACGCACAAATGAGATTTTATTGTCATAGTGGACGAGTTTCGTGGCTGTTACCGCGCTTAAAACATTTTTTTAACCATAATTAACAATAACCGCGAATTTCCACATTTTAAAATTTTCCCGCGCTTTTTTTTAAACCCCCCCCCACCCTTCACACGCTCACTTCTCTCCCTCCTTGTAATTCATAGTGCTCATCGTGCCTGCGGGTTTCTCGCGTTCCCATTGGACGGCCACGGCCACCACCGCGTGACGTCCCCACCGCACCGTATCCGCACTGCGAAATCGAGTCCAACCTCGCGCTTGCGAAATTTGGACTCCCTCCCCCCCACCCGCACCCAACGCGCATGCGCATGCACGCCCGCCCGCCCTACCCCACCCCCCCCTCCAACGTTGAAACGCGTTGACGACCCCGACGGCGATTTGCGCGGTGTTCGTATTTGGCAAAGTTACGAGGGGAGGGGTGGGAGGAGTCAGAGAGGGGGGAGGAGTCACTAAGCTCCTCCCCCACCACCACCACCGCCGTTCACTCCCTTACAACTTAACGCGGTCCCCGTGAAACCAAAAAAAATAATTTTTTTACGCAATTAAACCCAAAAGATTAAAAGTTATATATAAAAAAAATTGCGACGTAGAGTAAGTGCTTTGGAAGCTGACCGATGATAAGTATCGCCGAAAAAAGAGTATTAGTTGCACTAAATAAATACAATTGTTGGCGTTGCTTAACGCGAGAGTATATCTTACCGGTTTTTGTTTTGTTATTTCAAAAATAAGAGCTTAATATATTTGATGTCCTTTTAATGCATCCTTGATTGCGAGTAAATATATAAATCTACATCGCGCTATAAGTAATAATATATTCACGATACGCTTAACCATGCACTATCATTAATAACTTATTTACACTTTAAAAAAACCGTATATTTAAACGCGCGGTGTTTCCGATTTACTATAATTATCATAGCGTATATATTTTTTTGTTGTTGTGTTTTAATTTAATTTAATTCAAAAGTCGATGGCGGGCCGGAGGCTATCGAACCCCCTTGTCAGCCCCGCATCGCCTCCATCGCCTCGTTCACCTCCTTCATCTTCCGCTCGTCGTCTTTGCGATTCCCTCACGGCGATGATCCCCGTCGACGAATCCCTCACGGCCGACGAGAATTCCCCTCACGCGACAAAAACGGCGACGGCGGCGGCGGCGACATCACAAACACCGAGACGACACCGACCCACCGCGGCCTTGTTTCTCCGCCCGGCCGAGGGCGACCCTGGGCGGCGGGAGGAGGTAGCACCAGACGGGGGTGGGAGGGGGGGGCCCTCTCTCCTCTCCCCCCCCCCCTTCGCGATTATTCCCCTCAGGAATTTTCTCTCGCGCGCTTTTAAATTATTATTTTTTTAAAAACATGTTTTAATTTTAAACTTGAAGCGGGAATTCATCGTCTTTTGGTGTCTTTCGTTAATAAAGTCGCGTCGATGTG